CCTCTCTCCTGTCCTCTCTCCCAGTCCTCTCTCCCATCCTCTCTCCTGTCCTCTCTCCCAGTCCTCTCTCCCATCCTCTCTCCTGTCCTCTCTCCCAGTCCTCTCTCCCATCCTCTCTCCCATCCTCCCTCCTGTTCCTTTGTTATCTTTATTGAACCTAATCCCGCCTGCCTGCCCTCTGGTCTCTCTCCCCGCTTCCCTGCACAGCGGTGTTCTGTGGAGATCCAGGGGTGCCCGCCCAGGGCAGGCGAGAGGACCGCGGTTTCACCTACCTCTCCTCCGTGGTATTCACCTGCCTCCCCCCGCTGGTGCTAGTGGGCTCGGCCCGTCGCTACTGCCAGGCGGACGGCAGCTGGAGTGGGACACAGCCTTCCTGCATAGGTGAGAACCCCCGCTAGCCTTTGGATCACTGGGAACTAAGACCCCCCTGCAAGCTTCGATGCTGGCAATTCTACCCATGTATCATTACTTCATAGTATTTTGTATTTTAACCTGTTTCATTTATTTCATTATTTTGTCTCACAAAAATAAAGCTACCCAAGTACATGGTGCTGCTCATAAAGGTGTACCTGACTATAAAAATTCAGAATATGGCTGCCTGATGTCTGTAAACTGCCGTTGGTGTCTATACACATGTGTACTCTGTGACGGACTGCCATATTGCCTGGGGAGTGTATTTTTTGTTGCCACAGTGGGGAGCCCATTGGGTTTTTAACCAACAATCCTTTGACTACAGAATGAAAGCTTCAGACCCTTTGAAACCTGAGCCTGCTGCCCTCTCTGTAATGTCTACTTATTATGGGCAAGATTCAGCATAATGGTTTAATGGTTTAATTTTGTTAAAAGCATGTATGTGTCTGTAGCTGTAATGGATATAGGCCAGCTGCACTGTTATTTATATAGCTGGGCATAGTGTAGTTGATCCCGGACTGTAAATGCCCCCCCCCCCCCGGCTTGCTGTGGATGTGCCGAACAAAGCACATAGGTACAGGTGTACGGTGGGTAAAAGTGACGACTACACACCGTGGCCGAGGCCTCAGCAGAGTGGAAGCTGAAGCTAGTGTGGCCTCCGTCAGGCACTCAGCAAGACCCCGTCGGCTTGTCTGTTCCAGATCCCAGTCACACGAGCTGCAGTGACCCCAGGGTACCGCTGTTTGGACACCAGAACAACACTCAGGGCTACCAGGTATGGGGAACGTTAAAAAAACAAAAAAGTTGCAAATGGGCTTTATTGTGTGGAGCTGTATGGACAGGAATGTGCAGTGGCAGATGTTGGTTAGCGCAGTGTGCGCTTAGCAACAGACGCGTGCAGTGTCTGTGTGCACGCATGTGCCAGGTTACCACTGTGACACTGCGCTTCCTCTCCATAGATCGGCAGCACGCTGTTCTTCAGCTGCAGGAAGGGATACCTGCTACAGGGGTCCATCAGCCGCACCTGCCTGCCCAACCTGACCTGGAGCGGTGTGCAGCCCGAGTGCATTGGTAAGGGGGCCGCCCCTCGGGGGCCTCTCCCGCTCCCCGCTCAGTCTGCGCACGTGTGTGTGTCTGTCTGTCTGTCTGTCTGTCTGTCTGTGTGTGTGTGTCTCCCATCCTCTCTGCGGTAGGAAGAGGTAGACAGAGGCTGCTGTGTTGAGCTTGAGAAGGTGTTGGGTAGCATGTGGACTGTCTGACTGCTGAGCGCTGGAATGTAGCCAGCGATGGAGCCAAATGAGAGCTTTCGCTGTGCCCTGTTTTCCTGCCATAGCATTGAGGCTCACCTGATATTATCCTGCTTATTTACGTCATGCGATCACCTTGCTGTCATTTTGTGAGGCGTTGCTAGAAATGAACTGTGTTTGCCAGGACTTAGGAGACTCCGACCCAAGGGTCACGTCCTGACCAAAAGAAACAATATTAATATTAATGTATTATGTTTTACCCTTTCTTAAAATGCAATTATATTATCAATTACCAAACAACCATACCCTATACAATGCCATACTAGGGTATGAAGCACCATGGGAATCTTTTTAACGCTATGTAAAGTAAACAGGCATAAAAGACTTCTTGATATAAACACAGCATCCACAATGCATTGCTGGCATTGTGTTCGGCCTGCAGTTCAGCATTAAACGTTCTTCTCTGCCTCCGTTTAAATAGCTAAAGAGTTCCTCAGAGAGACAGAATGCCTTCGCCTTAATTGTGAAAGACTCACTTCCCATACAAACCCCGATAGCGACTTCGGAGGAAAAGGGAAATGGCCTGGTGCCTAATTAATGTTTGCTACCACCTGCTGTTTTGGGGACTGAAGGGTGCAGCATTGTGGATGTGCAGAATTCAAATAAGTATAAATAACCCACGTAGCTGCCTGTGACGCAGTCCGACGTGCATGATCTTACAGTCAGCGTTAAATAAGAAATAGAAGGCAAGCAGAAGATTTTTTATGTTAATGCTGTTCAAGCAATAAAACAAGGAGCTCCTGACCCCAATGTGATGCTGTAATGGAGAAGTGGAAAGAATAATCTGCATGTTACTGAGGCCAATTCTCAGCGCATGCAGAGTGTGATAACGAAATATATACCTTACAAAGATCGTAGTCCTGTATCAGAGAAAATCATTTTATCATAAGGATGAGTTATGTTTCGTAATGAAACTGCACCCTAAACAGTGTTAGCCTTATAAAAAAAATAAATAAATCAGTCCTTCCCTTCTTCTGATACTACTGGATGGATGGATGGATGGATGGATGGATGAATGGATATCCAAATGTTATCTGTATTCCCTTGAGTGACTGAGGACCTGAATACTGCACAGTAGCCCCGCCCCCAGATCTGACTGAGGACCTGAATACTGCACAGTAGCCCCGCCCCCAGATCTGACTGAGGACCTGAATACTGCACAGTAGCCCCGCCCCCAGATCTGACTGAGGACCCTGATACCCAACCCCCTTCATTGTTGCCTCTCCTCTCCACTAGCTCATCACTGCAGCCAACCCGAGCTCCCCGCCCAGGCCGACGTCAGCGCCATCGAGCTGCCCTCACTGGGATACACCCTCATTTACTCCTGCCAGCCCGGCTTCTACCTGGCCGGGGGCTCTGAGCACCGCACCTGCAGGGCTGACGGGAGCTGGACGGGGAAGCCCCCTCTGTGCTCAGGTATGTGTCACCGCTGAGGCGTACGCAGGGCTGACATCTCATTGGCCTGCTCCTCTGTCACTCACTGATTCTAAAAATACTATTGCCTAATGATAAGGTTGACTCTTTATTAATTATAGCCCCTCTTATTTCCCCAGCATGAATGTTAAACTTTCATGTTTTAAAAAATAATAAAGGTATGAACATTGAAGTGTACCGAACCAGAACCTGGTTTTTGAAAGCCAGCAACGAATATAAAAATGCAAAAACTTTTATATGCCATAACATTGTATAATGTAATATTGAAAGCGGGTTTAATAAAATATGCTTTTGTGACTTTGATAAATATGAGCGTAGTGAGGCGAATTCGGTCCTCTGTATGCATGTATACAAAGCGCTGTGCTGCATCACGTGCTGAACAGCTCTCCGGCACAAACGCTGAGGACTCTGCAATTGCTATTTGCACTGTAACAGCAGTAATTGTCCTAATAATAGTCAATTATGGCTTTGAACACTTCCTTTCCTAATTGGGCCCCCTATATTCATAACAGATTTCTCAGAAATCAGGCTCTCAGATCTTTGTTCTCGCCTTTCTCTGCATTACCTGCCCTTCATGCACTGCAGTCTATACCCAGTGTCTGTGGGGGGGGCACCTTTTTAACTGCGATTTACGGTGACTTTTACAGTGTGGGGCTTCTGCCCACCTGAAAGCACTGATATCCTTCAACAATACTGTCACAGTACTACAAGCATTCATTTTATTTTTTTTAATTTGAATAGAATTTTTGATTATTTTCTCTAAAAGAGCTAGTTATTTTTAGAAGACACTAAAAAAATTGCACTGTGTAAAGTTAGGTTTGTGTATTTATAAATGCATATGTATGCAGGATTCTGTGATTATGCCCATATGCATTTATCTCTGTGTTGGTATGTCTTTGTGTTACTGGGTGCTTGTGTGTTGATGTTTGTTCATTCATCTGTCAGTACCGTATGTGCTTATGAGTCATATTAGTATGTGTTTCTTTCACTGCATGTGTGTGTACATGCTTCTGTGTCACTGCTGCGTGTGTGTTAGTTACTGCCTACATGTGACTGGGTCTCGGCGTGTTCGTACGCGCGCGTGTGCTCCTCCCCGGCGAAGGCGGCTGTCCCGCGGCCTGCCCTGGGCCCCCCGAGGAGTGCACACTCTCGTCAGTGCCACGCACTTCCTGTCCTTCCCGGCTGGCTATGAGATAAGACCCCGATCATTTAGATTAGATTAGATTAGATTAGATTAGATAGTACTTTATTAATCCCTCAGGAAGGTTCCTCCGGGAAATTTAGTTCCAGCAGCAGTACACCGACACATTACAGTTACAAGAATTAAAATTTGGGGGCTGGGGGAAAAAAAATAAATAAAAAATTTGCACACAAGGAGGCGGTAACACTTATTTCTTTTCTTTTGTTATTCCAGCTGACACCCGGCCGAGCGGGACGACGATCGGAACCGTGCAGGAACCGCCGAACGCCAAGCTCCCAGGTGAACGCCGCTGTCGCTTTGCCTACCGTCTGTGGTGAGCTGGCAGGGCGCTCTGCAAAGGATTTATGCCAGGGGCCGTTTCTTTAGAACTCAGCGATTGATGTGATTTCTAATGTAATCTGGTTATTTCACTCTGCCTGTCCACAAAGGTAAAAAAAAGTCACTTTGAAAGTGCATAAATCAACTGAAATAGAGCCAAATGTCGATTTTTTTCGGCCCTCAATACTTGTTGCTGATAGCATGTTGGTCTATTCACAGTAGATTTTGACTGAGTTTGACGGTGTCCCTGGTGAAGTTTGCTAAATGGCAGATAATGAGCTGTAGCTGTAGCTGGCGGCCATTTGTGGAGCAGTACAGGCATGTTTTTGTTGTGCCCTTGACAGCAAAACCTGAGGCTGATAAATGGTCGTATCTAAGCCAGTCACTTTCGGTGAGAACATATCTACTTAAACAGTCAACAAATAAACTTTAATCTGCAAGTTCAGATATGGCTGCAGTACTTCGGCTAGTCTCCCGACACCTGTGCTAGCTACTCCCCCTATTGCAGGAAGATGGTAATAACATGTGATATATTAATGCCCCACTCCAGTCCCCGGTGGTGTCTTTGCCAAGAATTCTCTGTGGAGGGGCTCATACGAGTACCTGGGCAAGAAGCAGCCTGCCATGCTGAGCATCACCGCCTTTGAACCCTTCGGAAACCGCGTCAACGGGACGCTCATCCACCACAGTGGCGTGGAGCTGAAGCTGGCTGGTAAGGGGGGGGGCCCTGGGCTTAGATGCGCTTCTGGGCAGTACTGCTGTGCCTTCAAGAGGGCTTTGACAAAAGGGGGCGTGGACAGTGTGTGACCCCCCCACCCCGCTCCTCCTGCTTCCCTCCTAGGGATCTACAAAAAAGAGGAGTCTCACCTGCTGCTTCAGGTGTACCAGATTCGGGGTCCCGTCGAGATCTTCGTGAACAAGTTGAATTGGGCGCTGGACGGCCATGTAAGCGATCCCCAAACCCACATGCAGGGCTGTAGCTACTACACACACACACACACACACACACACAAGATTTAGCATCTTATTTTACACATTCATGGGCCCCTGTACAGTTCTGGGTCCCCTGAATCTACCGGCGTATCCATGCCCTGCCTACATGACATATTTTTAAATCCTTGAAAAATCCAGATTTGTTCAGGATACCAGCCCATTATCCCAGAAGCGATGAACGCTTCTTATGTGGAGATTTTAGGGATATATAAGGAAACTATTAAGCGTGGTATAACGTAATTAATAGTGGAGTGGAAAGCTCGGGTGATGGTGCGGATCAAAGTGTCCTGATGTTAGCCCACGGGTAGCTTTGTCGTGACCCAGGAAGTTAGCACAGCTTAATCACTCTTGTGGGGCGACGGCATGAGGCAGGGGGGAGGGGGGATCTCTCGTGTGGATGGAGATCCGGGGAAAAGCACCGCGAGGCCTTTCGTCCCAGGCCACGTTAGCATTGATTGGCTGGCAGTCTCTCGCCAAGTGCCAGCTTCTGATAGGGATGCCCAGTGAAATTTCCTTTTAATTAAAATGTCAGCGGAATCAATGTCTGGCAATCAGCAGCGGGCACCTCGTCCTGAATACATCGAGGAAAAGAAACGGCAAGGTTGTAATTAAAATTCATGCGGGTCTGGAGACACGGGGGACTTGCCTGGTGTGTGACGGAAAGGGTGCCTTCAGTGAGAGACCGGCGTTTGTGCCCCACAGGTGTCATACATGGCCTCCACCAACTCCTTTGTGTATCAAGGGTTCGTAAGAGGAAAAGGATTCGGCCAGTTTGGACTTCAGAGACTTGGCAAGTATATCATGTAGTGCACCGACTGCGCTCAGTCACTCGTTAGCCGTCTGTAATACAGCTTGTTTTGTTAGCAATTAAACTGTAAAATGCATTGATTTCTTTCGGCCTACTTCTTGTATATTGCACTCACAGGGTTCCGTTACAGATCTAGTGTATAAATGTGTGTTCATGCTCAATTCTCTGTGCTTTGTCAGTGAGGGTCAGTGATTTCTCACAAGACATCTTGCCATGCATCAAAGATTGCTGCATTTGTCACACACAGAGGGCAGACTCTTTTGGCCAAAGGCCTGATGGTTTTGCCTTTTTGTGGCTGTAGATGAATGTATTTTTCCTTTGTTCCGGGATGGACTCTACCAAAGACTTACAGCACTTCAAATAAAAACTGAAATGCTAGTTTTTGGTGCAGTACGTTAAACACTATACAATGCATTCAAAGTTAACAATCATCATTAAATATTCAGATTTAACAATTACTATGATATGTGTCCCGTGACGCAGGGTGTCCCCCGTCCTCTGCCCTGTGATACAGGGTGTCCCCGCCCTCTGCCCTGTGACGCAGGGTGTCTCCCGCCCGGTGCCCTGTGATGCAGGGTGTCCCCGCCCTATGCCCTGTGATGCAGGGTGTCCCCTGCCCTGTGCCCTGTGACGCAGGGTGTCCCCGCCCTATGCCCTGTGATGCAGGGTGTCCCCTGCCCTGTGCCCTGTGACGCAGGGTGTCCCCGCCCTATGCCCTGTGATGCAGGGTGTCCCCCGCCCTCTGCCCTGTGACGCAGGGTGTCCCCGCCCTATGCCCTGTGACGCAGGGTGTCCCCCGCCATATGCCCTGTGATGCAGGGTGTCCCCGCCCTCTGCCCTGTGATGCAGGGTGTCCCCTGCCCTGTGCCCAATGATGCAGGGTGTACCCTGCCCTGTAACCTGTGATGCAGGGTGTCCCCCGCCCGGTGCCCTGTGACGCAGGGTGTCCCCGCCCTATGCCCTGTGACGCAGGGTGTCCCCGCCCTCTGCCCTGTGACGCAGGGTGTCCCCCGCCATATGCCCTGTGACGCAGGGTGTCCCCGCCCTCTGCCCTGTGACGCAGGGTGTCCCCCGCCCTATGCCCTGTGACGCAGGGTGTCCCCCGCCATATGCCCTGTGACGCAG